CTATGTTTCCCGGTAAAATACATTGGAAAATCCCGCAGGAGGAAAATTCCAAGTAGGGTTAGGGTTAGGTTACCATGAACTCATAGAGCAAAATGGACATTGCCAACAAATTCGGAGTGCTTGGGTATGGTTAGGAAGGCACTTACTTTTCTAGGCTGCCCTATCTATGTTTCCTGGAAAAATACATTGGAAAATCCCACAGGAGGAAAATTCCAAGTAGGGTTAGGGCAGGGGTAGGCAACCCAAAACACTCAAAGAGCCACTTGGACCCGTTTCCCAATGAAAACAAAACACTGGGAGCCGCAAAACCCTTTTGATATCTAAAATGAAGATAACACTGCGTATTTTTTACCTATATATATATATATATATATATATATATATATATATATATATATATATATATATCTTTTTGTCAGCAAATCTTTTTGTCAGCAAAAAGAAATCTGAATTTGTAATGTATCGCAGTAGCGACTTGAGCCTCCTTAACGCCCCTAGTTGGGGCTGCAAGGCAAAAGTGATTATTTAAAAAAAAAATAGAACTGTAGTATAGCAGTCAAAATGCCAAGGTGCAATCAATCAGACCGGTCTGTCTGAAAAACTTGCTGTAGATAAGATAGGTAGGTAGGTAGACAGACAGACAGACAGACAGACAGACAGACAGACGATGATAGATAGATAGATAGATAGATAGATAGATAGATAGATAGATAGATAGATAGATAGATAGATAGATAGATAGATAGATAGATAGATAGATAGATGATAGATAGATGATTGATAGCTAGATAGATACATACACACACACAAATATATATATACACACAAACATATACATACACACAAACACACTGTGTGTGTATGTATATGTTTGTGTGTATATATGTGTGTGTGTGTCTATCTATCTATCTATCTATCTATCTATCTATCTATCTATCTATCTATCTATCTATCTATCAATCAATCAATCATAAAGGCAAAAAAGGATATATGCAGTGTTATCTTCATTTTAGATATCAAAAGGGTCTCTCTCCCCCTCCCTCTCTCTCTCCCTCACCTTCTCTCTTTCTGCCCTTGGTCTGCCAGTCCTCTTCCCCCTCTTTCTTTCTCTCTCTCTCTTTCCTCTCTCTCTCCCTCTCTCTTTCTCTCCCCCCCTCC